GCTTATTATACCAACATTTAAAATGGATCGCTACCAAATGTAGAACGGATGAGACTTACTACAACTGAAAATATTCAGCAACAAACGATCGTCGCCATTAAGTACACGATAAAAGACATTTTAACTTTTTTTCATTTCGTCTTTGTGGATATATATATATATATATATATATATATATATATATATATATATATATGTGTGTGTGTGTGTGTGTGTGTGTGTGTGTGTGTGTGTGTGTGTGTATGGTGGACTCCCCCGTCGAATTCTACGTATGAGGGTCAAGCAAGTCAGTTCCTAGGAAACGACATCCAGACACTTGCACATATGATTTGATTATAGTATAGAAGGCTGTGTGCAGAACCAACCACACTTTTTAAACGTCCGAATACGGAGACTTGGTGCATTTCTTGCCACAAGACCCTCAGCGTGTTTTGAATTCAGAGTTGCCCTTCTCACCAGTTGCCATCCAAAGCTATGGAACCCAGTCTGTCCTGATATTTACCCATAGCTGGAGGAAGAAGAGGATTATATATTTTCCAAGTGAATGTAATCGATTCAACTGGAATTTGAACTCTCCGATTCCTCAATCCGAACCGCTACCCACTATATATATATATATATATATATATATATATATATATAAATTTACAGATTCAGATATAATTAAAAATAAAATCATCCAGGATAAAGACTAAAAGAATAGTTGGAAACGATCGGACATGTTTGGGCAATTTTTACACACGTTATGCCCAGAAAAAAATTCTTACGAACATAAGAAAAATTAAATAAAAAGCTTAAAGCCACTACCTTGTCAGTCGTCTTTAACGAAAGTCACCACCACACACACATAATATATATATATATATATATATATATATATATATATATATATATATGGATTTAATAGGCCAGTTTATGAAAATTCGAGACATAAAGATATTACAAAGTACAAAAATATTGTCAAGTTGACTGATGATATTTATTATATATTAGTATATTTATTAGATATTAGTAGGCCTTTTGACTAAACCGAATTGCGAAAAGGAATGTTTTAAAATCAGAATTTTACTATTGAGGAAGTAATTGACTAGGACCAATATAAAATTACATTCTCAATAGAAATTATCCACTTAAAACTATTAATCACTAAGGCTTTCAAGCAAAATAGAAATACGCTTCTACCCTATAGAATAAAAAAAATATAGAATTCCCATGTTTTTTTTATTTGAATTGCAATACTTACAAACCTTCCCATATATTACAGAAAAAGATTTCCATTATTTAAAACTCTAGCACACAATTACAAATATATTTAACGAGAATCCATTCAATGCCAGGCGCCAATCCCTGACCTACACGCACTCCATCATCTGGATTACATAAATCACCACCTCACCAAGAGAATATCACATGCTGTAAATCCCGATGCCAGGTAAATATGTCATCACTTATAACATTTTCCCACCCCCAGTACCCACATAGTATTCAGACTACCGGATTTTACTTCTAGCAGTTCAAATCTTATATATTATTTTTCTGCAACAAATGCAAAAGAGAAATTATTTTGAAGGACCAGGCATCAAAAACAACAACAATTACCAGTCGCGGCACACTTCAACCAACCGGATCACAGCTTTGATGACATCAGATTCGTGCTTTTCGCGTTTTCATTTAAGAGCCAACAGGAACGACGTAAATCGGAGTTAAATATGTTTTTAGAGTATAATAACATATTAAAAGATTAAACAGAGACTTAGGTTTACTCAGAGAATGCAGTTTCCACAGAGATCCGTCTATAAACGTTACACAGACATATTCCTGACAAACTATTAGGTAAAAATCATATTTCTTACAGTAATAAAACATTTGTAGCGTAAGGTAGCCGTTAATAATTAAGTATAACTGAAGGCTTCAATGTTAAGATAGAATAATATTTAATTACAACCGCCGCTAAATACTTAATAAGAACAAAGAAGTAAAAGTCATCCAAAGATAATTAACCATTTCAGTGAATACCTTGTTGGTAGTAAATCCTAAATCGAAACCCAAATCATTGACGCGCAATAATTCACACTAATTCGACTGGAGAGTTACACTCAGTAGTCACTCAATAATCACCCCAGTCAATACCCTGACACCGTTATTTATACACCCGGCGGAAAACATATATTCATGAGACCAGAGTGTCACGTTCGAATCTCAGTGTCAGTAGTTTTCTTCCTATATAACAAAATCGTATAAAGAAAAAAAGCAATAAAATTCACACTTCATTGTTTATGTCTCATTGAAAAAGAAAAAATCTTTCTCCTAGTATTTCGGCTTAGATAAAAATTATGATGAATATAATCAGTCTTATTGGCATTATCTTTCTCATGTTGTTGTCTTTTCATTCCTAAAATTTCCTTAAACGGTCTATTAAATCCACATATTACAAAAGCACACGTGCGTCACACATATATATATATATATATATATATATATATATATATATATATATATATATATATGTGTGTGTTTGTGTGTATACATACATATATTTTTCTTTATCCTCATTTCATCTCTGTGCTTTAATTTTACTTTCCATGGGGAATTCATTTATTTACTTGTTTATTTGACCTTCGATTTTTTCTCTCATTTTTCCACCTCATCATTTTCCATATGCGTCTGCTTATTCACCCTTCTTCTTCTTCATCTACTTCTTCTTCGCCTTCATTAATTCTTATTCTTCTTCACCTTTTTCGTTGTTGTTATTCCTTCTTGTCATCAGTCGTTCTCATCTTTAATGTGAATTATATTTGAATATCAATCCGGTGCTTTGATAAGTCGGCCAAGGCCTCGCTGATCAGGATATATTATTGTTAGAGTAGCATTTAGACGTTTATCTAGCGAGCATCTAGTTAGAGAGCTGTCACAGGCTGTCCATATCTATCTGTCTCAACCTGTTCATATTCATATTTATCTACTTAACTATCTCAACATTTTCATATCTATCTCTTAGCCTGCTTATCAATCTATCTGTCTCATACTGTCCATCTTCATATCTATCTAAACATTTTCATATATATTAGCCCGCTTATCTATCTATCTCATCCTGTTCATCTTCATATCTATCTAAGCATTTTCATATCTATCTATCTATCTATCTATCTATCTATCTGTTAGCCTGCCTATCTATCTATCTATCTATCTCATATGTATGTATGTATGTGTCTATCTTTATATATATATATATATATATATATATATATATATATATATGCAGACATACCTCTCATCAACGGACAAATAGAAGAATGGGTTGTCCGTTTAAGCCGATTATCTGTAGATGTTAGGGGATTATTTTTGAGTTATAAAACCTCTATAGTAACTACCAGTAGTTATGACCATAATGTAAATACTATAAACATGTATATATGCCATAAATAAATATATACTTAATATATATATATATATATATATATATATCAAAATAACAAAATAATAGATTTCTCACAGCTACTTTCTCACGCACGCGCCAATGTATCGTACTTTATAACTTTATGTACAACTGTCTTTGAATGCGACGCTACCGCCGCCGCCGCCAAGCGGTCACTTTGAGAACTAATACGACTCGTTCTGCTAAACAAGCAAATTTTTAAATACGTCGCTAACGACTTTGAGGGTTTTTTTTTACTATTTATTTATTTTTTTTTGTCTTGCCTAGAAGTCTGTTGATGGGGGGAGCGTAGATGAGATTTTTGTCTATATATATATATATATATATATATATATCAATCTATCCATCTGTGTGTCTTGGCATATTCATATCTATCTATCTATCTATCTGTCTATCTCTCTATCTCTCTCTCTCTCTCTCTCTATATATATATATATATATATATATATATATATATATATATATATGCCTGTTTCACAGCTCGCCAGTGTGGCTTGACATCCAGTTGCTTTAAGCCGAGATCGAAACTCGACCAATTTGGCATCAGTCAGAGACTACCCTTAAGCTAGAAAGGGAATCTTTTAACGCATTATATACGTAATATATACAAACGTCAAATCAGCAGTCAGAGCGCTCAGTTCATAATTGAAGAGCGTTGCGTTATATGAGCAGCTAATTTATTAAAAATCCCCCTTCCCCATAGTGCTCAATCGGCGAACAATATCTAAGTAAGTAAATTTTCATATCTACACTATCTGTCATATCTATCTTTCTAATGAACCGTCTCTATATTTTCATGTCTATCTATCTGTCTCGACATTTTCATATATGTATCTTGCTAGCTAGCTCAGTTTGTTTATAAATCATTAACTAAGTACATCAGTTTTCCACAATCTTGTTTCCTCTATCTCCCTCGCTATCTGAATCTTTTTTTCTGTGTAATTCTTCGCGTATCTGCCATTCAGATTTTTTTGAATGTACAAACATCAGATGTTATTCCACAAGTTTGGGTGTTAACAAAATAGATGACATGGCATATGCGTTTGTAAACTATGCACACTTTATAATTTATATACATATTGGCCTGTTTATATTCAGAAGCATGATCAGTTTCGAAATAATTCTTTCTCTCTTTCTGGTGAACAAGCAATATTTATTGATTTGGATTTTATGAATAGACATATAAAGCTTGCGTCTGGTATTTGAGTACAGGCGTTTCGCTGGCATTGAATGGAATATAGCCAAAAGTAATTTTACGCAGCATACACATTATTTTAACAATTTCATACTCTTTCTGATATATTAAGAATATTAATATGCAAGCGTCCAATCTGACAGAAGAAATGAAATGGTACGCTGTGGTAAAAAAAGAAATGGTATGATAAGGTCAAAAATAAATGAAATGGTAAGCTGAGGTCAAAAAGAAATGAAATGGTACCCTGTGGTAAAAAAGAAATGAAATGGTATGCTGTGATCAAAAAGAAATGAAATGATACGCTGTGGTAAAAAAAGAAATGAAATGGTAAGCTGAGGTAAAAAAAAGAAATGAAATGGTACGCTGAGATCAAAAAGAAATGAAATGGTACGCTGTGGTCAAAAAGAAATGAAACGGTACGCTGTGGTCAAAGAGAAATGGAATGATACGCTGGGGTAAAAAAGAAATGAAATGGTATGCTGTGGTCAAAAAGAAATGAAATGGTACGCTGTGGTCAAAAAGAAATGAAATGATACGCTGGGATAAAAAAGAAATGAAATGGTATGCTGTGATCAAAAAGAAATGAAATGGTACGCTGAGGTCAAAAAGAAATGAAATGGTGCCCTGAGATCAAAAAGAAATGAAATGGTACGCTGTAGTAAAAAAGAAATAAAGTGGTGCGCTCTTATCAAAATAAATGAAATGGTACGCTCTGATAAATAAGAAATGAAATGCTATGCTGAGGTAAAAAAGAAATGAAATGTTACGTGACACTATTTAGCTATGGTAATTGGCTAATTAATTAACCATAGAAATTAAAAACGGGAAATACTTAAGGCGAGAAAGAACTATACCGAAAGATAGACTGAGCGACATTAAAAAAAGAAGAATTTATTTTATTTACAAAAGGAAGATACTTTTCGCAAAAGACAGAAAACCAGTAAGAAGGACCGAGACTGTGATTCTCTCAAATTAATTAATGTCACGATAAGGGAGTGACGTGTAAAACGAAACAGAATTCTAAAAGATAAACAAAATCAGCCGGCGCATGCGACCATGGAGAAATTTCAACTTCAGACCTCCCTGAAGAATAAACATTAATTATCTTTCAGAGATATCATTTAATTTTGGTGCTTGGGTCCAGCGAAGAGACCAATCTGTTGTATGTACGAATCTTGGCATGAGAAAGGAAATTTCGGATGAAAATGTTGTTATTATTTTTTTTTAAACTGTTGACGTCAGACGCAGTGTCGTCGAAAATAGGCATCTGGTGATAAGAGAATTTTAAGACATGAGGAAAATAAAGAATTTAATTATCAGGTAAACACAACCACCCAGTTAAAAGTTGGCTAAAATGGATTTGGAATGTGATAAGGAATTGAATGGTAATCTGGGAATGGTAAATGTTTTGGCCGAAGGAAATGGAAAAAAAATTGTAAACATGAGGGCCAGTCTAACCACATCCACACTGCCGTGAGATCATTGGCTATGAAGTAGCATGGGTAATAGGCGGGGGTGAATGTATGAGAAAGACGGAGAAGTTGTTAATACCCATTGGGGGGATTTGTATGAGATACCAATGTGAGAGAGGAAGAGTCTAGGAGGATAACTCTCCTCCGACCTTCCCTCGCAGACGAGGGAGGAACCCCGAAGTGGAAAGTGATTAACCTTCCAAAAATGGGAAGTAACTAATTTTCCTGGCCTAAGAACAAAGAGAATGCTTGTTGGGAATTAAGAATTATCAAAGAACCCAAACCACGACAGGCCCCACCACGGAGTTGGTCGGTGTCCATATAAACGACCGTCTCGAGCTAGTCATAGAGTTTTGGACAGAGAGTTTTTTCGGCAGAGTTTCAAAAGAGTTCGGAGATGCAGTAGCTGACCGAAAGATTTCCACGTCTTTTTCGACTTAGTCTTCCTACCAAAAGCAAGTTTTTATTGACGAACGACTTAAGATACCATAACTCGCTTAAGAAACCCAAAAAGTGTCACGAATCCATAGAAACTGACCGGGAGAGAAATACACTCCTGTATTCAACTGATAGATAAAGTTAATTGTTACTTTTCAACATATTTGAAACTCGTGAGTTTGTTTTATTATTTTTATTTTACTTACGCTTGTGTGGTATCACCTTTACCCTAGATTCAGCTTGCACTACGGCCCGACGCCTGATTGATTTCGTCAACCTAAGATCAAAGTCACAACCTGGGTAGGTTAGACATGAGATCAACGCAGTTACTTCGGTGACCAAGCGTTGGAGGCGAGCTGAGAAAGACAAAGCTGGTATCGAACCGCAAACGACCAGATCGACCGGGACACAGGCTGGTGGCAGCGACGAGGAGTCAATCCCAAAACGCTGGTGGAAGAAACCTTACAGCTTCGCGCTGCAACTGGGAGTTGACGACGGACCGACGGTGGACGTCACATATTGGCGTCCGCGACCACCGGTGGGTGTCACAGTTCAAAAGAAAGGACACACTCTGTTCAAAAATAAAAATGTTTCGCTGCGGTTAAAAAGAAATGAAATACTCCGCTGTAGTATAAAAATGCGACTGCATTTAGCAGGTCGATGAAATAACCAAATGCCTTGTTCCTCGTCGATTTGCTGTAGCAAGCGACTCTTTTTGTCGCGAAACAAGTCTTGGAAAGGCGTGTTTACCGTCCGATCAAAGAGGTCACTCGGGGGCAATGCAATCTCCTTCCTGGCCGAGAGGTACATTTTCTTTAATATGTCTGTTTGCCTACGGCGTTGATTATTAATAATACTGTTTGCCAAGAAATAAAAACAAGAAAAAAACAAAAACAAGAATGCCTATTCATAACGGACATACAGAAAAATAACGTTTATAATAGAAAAAATAGTATGCAGAAAGTTTTTGGACATAAAAACACTGTAACTGCCAAGTTCATATTTTATGCGATGATTGAAACATTAAACACATGACCTGATGAAGGCTTAAGGCCTTAAACTGAAAGTATCGATTTCTATATCTACGCAATAACACTCTTTTTCGTGCTCTCTCTCTCTCTTTTACTCTCTGAGATATATATATATATATATATATATATATATATATATATATATATATATATATATAATATGAGAATATTTTGCAAAATAATTTAGACGCATTATGTATATTTATTTTAGTTTTAATTAATTTCTTGGTGGCTGTAGAAAATTGATTAAGAAAAATTCCTAAATTTTCTTTCAAATACTTTTTATGCTCCAAAGTATTTTCAATCTCATCTGCGACCATCTTAAGGGGTTGCATATATAGAGATGTGTTATGCGTTAACATCGTAAATTCATAATATTTTTTACTCCTATGCAAGGGAGTAAACTTATGTGATATTTGTTTATATTTCAAAAGAGTTTTTAATTGTAGTATTTTAATTAATATTTTTCATGTAACTCTTTGCTGCTACAAACATTTAAGAACTTTATTGCTGTATTCGTAGATGACTTAATTTAGTTTTGGCGGCAATTCTCTTATATAAAGGTCTTCCAGAATTTTAAGTTTTCCCTTATTATTTTCTTGATGAAACACTGATGTATTTTCGACTAATACCTGTTTAAACTGTCGAAAATAAATAAGGATATACGGTTACAAATAACGTATATCATAAAAGAAACATTTAAAATAATAGAAAATTGTTGGATTTAAAACCTAAATTCATTACAAATTGCTTTGTTTACGTTTCGAAAAGGAAAACTGAGCAGATATGCGTTTCAGGAAAATTCTGAACGAATAAATGTGTTAAAAAAGGAAAAACAGACCCTTACTTTATTGTGAACCTCTTCGTAGCCGAGCAGTAAAAGCACGCTGGATCAAGCAGTGGGTCCACCTGTAAAGTTCGATGGTTCGTTTCCTGTCGGAGGATATATTTTCCATATTTTTAGGTTTCTCAAGTACTCATGTCGGTAAATGGAATAAATACTGTTTAAAATGAAACAAGCGTCTGCTCAAATGCTAGTATCCACTAGAAATTAATATTTACAGAACATTCGTACAATTTCTGCATAATTTATGCCCCAAAAAGCAGAAAATTATTAGAGCACAAAAAAATAAAATAAAAAACATAGCCGCAGTACCTTACCACACGTTTTAATAAAACGTATATATATATATATATATATATATATATATATGGAGAAATTTGACAAACGGAAAACGTTTCATTGAAACTAGATTTGATGATGTGTTACTCCTTTCTAGGCTCCATCAAATCCAAACATATCAAACACACACACATACACACTCACACGCATGCACATACACCCATATGTGTGTGCATGCGTGTGTGTTTAATGTATATATATATATATATATATATATATATATATATACACACACACATATATGTGTGTATGCATGCGTGTTTAATTTATATATATATATATATATATATATATATAGATAGATAGATAGATAGATAGATAGATAGATAGATAGATAGATAAACCTAGTGAGCCAGACAAACCTTCCCAGGTTTCACCTAAGCGGATCGTCAGAGAAACCTGGCCAAAGAGGCAAAAGAGAAACAGCATATTTATAGGCGATAATCAAAATCATACCACGTGACCAAAGAAAAAGAAAAGAAAAGAAGAAAAATTACACACAAAAAAAAAACACACCGGGGGTGGGGGTAGAGATTTATTCAAACGACTAAAAAGGGGTGGAGATAATTAAAACACGAACAATAAAGGTGGAATGACAATACAAACGGGGAGATTAGACCTAATTCAATAACCAAGATTTTCATATGTTAAGAATCTCGGTTTTAGAGTTTAATCGATCGTTAGGTTGATTATATAAAGCTATGACTAATTTCTCCTCTGTACATAGCTTACAAAATTTTTGGCCTGCTTTATATTTGGGGCATTTTTTAAATATTTCCCATTTAAGGATGGGGTCTTTATCGTTTTCTTGTCTAGTTTTCCATACATAGGTGGATAGCGTGGTACTATGTTTAGTTTTTTTCGTTTTTAAAACTACTTTTGTGATTATAATATCTTTTTTTTTAAATATCCTGAGTAGCACCCATGTATACTTTAGGGTTTGTATCCTCCATAACTTTATAAATTTTCGCCTGGTAAACCACGCATTCTTGTTGACATTTTCTCTGTAGGGGCAGATATTTTTGTTCCTACAATTGCAACTAGGAGGGCTACTGCGTGGATTTTTATTTTTATTGAATATTTTATGCAACTCAGTTTTGGGGGGGCAATTTTGCTCTAATAAGTTAAAAAATATTTTGCCAAATTTTGATTTTACCACCAAATTAAAAGGAGGATTAAACCACAAAATATTTCTCTGCCTAATTTTACGTTTATTCTGAGTTCTGTTATAACTGTTTATGTCAATATATTCCATTTTATTTTTATATCCACTCTTAGAGAGGGCTTCCTCATAAATTGTTTTATTGGCCCCGAAAATGCCTTTATTAGAGGAGTTGGTTGAAAGTCTATAGCTAATGTTTTTTGGGATATGTCTTACGATATGGACTGGGTGATTGGATTTTACATTTAAATATTGGGGGTCCTAGTTCTCTTTTTTATACGGGGATATAGTACCATTTTCTAAGTTTAACGTAATGTCTAAATAATTGGTAATTTTCAGATTGGTTTCAATTTCAAGATTGAGTCCGAATTTTCTAAAAAACCAGTGTAGTTTTTTACGGATAGTGTCACATTTTGGGGGGTTACTCTTATCCACTATAATTAATCTGTCGTCGCGGTACAACCCATGGTTATTAAAATCTATATAGTCGTTAAGCCTATAGAGCAGCAGGCACCCTACTAACTCGTACACCTCTGCTCTATCATATGCTCCCATGGGGTTGTCAAAACTGTTAACGTTGTCTTTTTTATCCATATTACATTATTATGGAATAGTAGTATTTTCGGCAATGTCTAATCAGGTTTATTTTATCGTGCGAAATTTGGATATATTCTTTAGCTAAACACAGGGCTTCATTAAGGGTTTTCTCTGAGATAGACGGGTAATATTCCTTAATATCTTACCTAATGAATGAGCATTTCTCAGTTTTGTTATAATTTTCAAACCACTGAATACAATCATTAGTCGATTGCCATTGATTTATGTTAAGGAAAGTCCTTAGGGATTTGCATGTGGATGCATATATATATATATATATATATATGCATCCACATATATATACGGTACTTAGAATAAATGTTTATACATGTAATAATAAACAAGTCCATTACTTTATTTACCTACATATATAGTAAATAGGTATCTGAAACTGGAGTCACATATTGGTTTCATCTTTGCAATAGAGAATAAATATGATATTTTATTTGTGTGTATGTATGTATGTATTTGTGATGCCAAGGAATCCTCGTTGCTACTTTTTTAATGTCAACGAATACGCGTTGCCACTTTCGTAATGCTCGTTGTAGTAGAGACTTTGTAATCGCGGATACAACTATAGTAACGCCGTTGAACAAAACTGGTGTCAGACGCCTTCGAATGTCACTAACACTAATAATACTTGCTTTAATAATACTCGCTCGAATAGTAATCCGTGTAGTGAACAGAAAAGAGAAATAGTGTAGAGAATAGCGATCCGTATAGAGGATAGAGGAGAAATAGCGATCAATTAGACACACGCTACCTCAGATATGTGTTTCTTCTATGGTCACGTGATCTACTTAATTCAATAACAAGACCACCTGTGTTTGCACAGTGGCGATCTATGTTCAAAATCAAGTGTCTCAGTGACACTTTATTCCTATATATATATATATATATATATATATATATATATATATATATATATGAATAAAAATGACAATAGGAAAACTGGTAATTGCTGACGCGTTTCGTCCAATGTGGACTTTATCAAAGCAAAATACGAAAATGAAATTAAATGAACAACGTAACTAATAAAAACAAAAACAGAATGTACCTAGCAACTGGAATGTAGAGAAACGCAATTTTCATATTTTTTAACTGAAAAATAACGTCAAAGATTGTCACGTGTGGAGAATATTGTCATTATATCTGTGTTGATGTATTCAGCCATTTTCTTTCGATTTTATGAATCTGTTGTGCATATTTGTTTGTAAGAGCATTAATTTTGTTAAGAAAGGTGAAATAGGGAAAAGGCCTGGGCGTAAATTAATATTTGGATAATTTTCTATGGCGGCACTCTCCAGAATTTTCCTTCTGAATGAGTTATTTTCTTTTTTTATGAGTGTAGCATTTTTAAAATCAAAATTATGGTTGTATTTATTTCTATGTATGACTATTGCATTAGCTAAGTTGTTTTTTGTGAGGTCTCTTTTGTGCTCATAAATGCGTTTTTTCAAACTTCTACTTGTTTCTCCAATATATTGGGAGGAGCAGTTTTGGCAATTTATTTTATAAATGCCTGCTTCAGAAATATTAGTGCTATTATTGTTTGAAGATCTTAGTATATCTATAATGGTTTTGACGTTATTTTTCAGTTAAAAAATATGAAAATAGCGTTTCTCTACATTCCAGTTGCTAGGTACATTCTGTTTTTGTTTTTATTAATTACTTTGTTCATTTAATTTCATTTTCGTATTTTGCTTTGATAAAGTCCACATTGGACGAAACGCGTCAGCAATTACCAGTTTTCCTATTGTCATTTTTTATTCATAAATATTGTCTTCTCTACCGATTAAATCGGAGAAATTTTCATATATATATATATATATATATA